AAAGAGAGACATAGGAGTAGAACTTCATAGTTTTCGGTCAGTCTGACCGTGATACGGAGTGTTTTGAACGGTGGCGGTTCACTTTGATAGAAAGCATATACTAAAATATTTCTGTGACAGTCACAAAGCTAGAGATCCTGTAAACCAAGGCACCAATATAATATGCTGCATATGGGGAATGCTGTATAGTTACACTGTTCCTGTCCCTCCACGTCTAGCTATAGCCGGTGTCTTGTTGGCGCAGAGCAGATCAACTGTTTACTAGTATGTTGAATCATTAGTGGATGTGTTGCATGAGGTGTTGGAGATCAGCTCAGCTGATTGGTTGACCGATGACCCTTAAGGAAGAAAGAGGGAGAATGAGACTGGACAAAGCGAATAATGGCTTTAATTCAACTTTAGCTGATGTCCTGTCATGTTCTTGATTTCGTCTATGGTAGGAGGCAACAGTTAAAATAACAACTTTACAAGTTTCTAATTTTTGAGCTGTTGCAGTGATAATTACATTCATTCAAGCTGCATTCTGGAAAAACCTACTAGAGGTGTGATAAGATCATTTGGTATATTAAAGTGAAGGGTTTTGAAAAAGTTATTTAGCATTGTTCATACTTTCACCTTTTTTTGGGGAAAAAAAAATATAGATTAATTTTTGCAAATTGGCAGGAAAATCGTTATGGCAATGTATATATACTTATTAGATAATGTTATCATGCTGACGACACTTGCAATGTCTCTATAGATATCAATTATGGTAGAGAGGGCGATAAGTTATCACTAAAATGTTGACTAAACTTGGGTCTATTTAGTTTTTCTTTGTATTTTCACGGTTTTGTTTGTTGTGTAATTGGGAATATAATTGTACGAGTATATATATGATTTGGTAGCCTGACTACTGCTTGAATAGAATGATAATTGGCTTAGTTGATCTTAAATAGTGTAGGTCAATCTCTAGTTTTTTGTTTGTATTCATCTTTCATAAAGTGAGGGCTATTTTACATGTTTTCATGTGCAAGGTGGATTTTTTCTGCTCTTTCTGTTGTCATACACTCATGTTAAATCTTGATATATGTCTTATGTTCCCTTGGGGTGGAATTGTCATTTGTCGGATTGTCTTCATGCTTGATATTATTGACAGCAGGGCTTGGCAGGTTTGAAGCCTTGGATATAAAATGGGGGTGGATATACGAATCGTAGATGGGTCAGAGAGAGAGTGGTGAGGAACTACATCGTTGGACTGTAGCGATAAGCCATTTTTGGTGTCTGCATCGTGAGTGTTGTTACAGTGATATTGGTGAATGACGTTGTAATGTGGTACTATATCTATGGAGTCATTTCTAAGGGGACTGTAGAGATGTGTAGAATTTGGTGTTGAGAGAGTATTAGTATTGTTGTCGTGTGCTTATATGTTGCTGCAGGCGTGAGTGCCTAATTAGGGCCTAAATCTCTGCAGATGCAAGATCGTGTTTGTTAGATGTAGACAAGCCACACCTAGGCTGGGATAATAGATTGGCCATCGGGGGCATGCTACCATAGCGTGGCACCTTATATAGACAACGCCAGCAGTTGGCCAGGTTTTGTTTTGTTGGAGTGTTCGGTTTTGTCGTTGATGGAAGATTGGATAGGGGAGTGGCTGTTATTCGTTTCTTGTGAGTATGGTGCCGTTTTTGACGCTTCTCTGCGCTTTTTGAGCGGTGGGGCTGGGGAGTGTCCGACGTGTTGTCTGGATGATACTTTGCGGTAGATCTCCTTCTACTGCTGGCCAGGTTCTCTCATTGTGCTTCTTTCATAGCAAGAGGTAGGGCTGGAGTGGGATATTTGTTTTGAAACATTGCTATTCATGGAGGAGCTTCCTGTGACTATTGTCGGTACCTCTGGGGTGTGCTTGAGTTAACCTGAATGGAAACAGCAGACATAGACAGTATCATTGATTCCCATGGTTTTGTTAATGGATTTTCTGCGGTTTTCTGGTTATGCATGTCCTTTCTCTCGGTTTTTTTCTTTTTTGTTATAGAGGGAAAGGTTTCAACATAACGGGCTAGTGCGTGATCTTGGTTGTTATTAAAGGTAGGTTCATATAGTGTCTATTGGACCAAGTGGTCGCTTATGGAGTGGTGGAGAGAGTCTTGAGAGGTGAACAGTCTGCAAGGTTGTAGATGGGACGATGGTGCACGAGGGGGGGCTTGGGTGCATCTGTAATTCCGTGACTGAACTTGTTGTTGTCATTTGGGAGAGTGTGAAGTCTACGGTCTCATCTTTTGTCTGGTGAGTGGATTTATACTAGGTTTTTTATCTTTTCTGTCACTGATCATAGCTTTTTATGAGGGATTTGACTTGTTAAATGTGGTGTTGAATCTATCTGTTAACGGTTGAATAGCTAGGAAGTAAACCTTTTGTGACGTTTTATGGTTATTTTTTTTATTATTTGAGTATTTATTTTTAAGACCAGTGTTTCAATGTCAAAGCATTTGTATTTTGGATTTGTAGAAATTCTTTTCCGAGGGCTATTTGATGTGTCTGATAGTTGCTATTTGTTTCTTAAAATTGTTATCGGTTTAGTGTTACAGGGCGTATTTGCTTTTTTAAGGTTAGGGTTTATTCCTTTAGGTTTTATAGTTTTTGTTTATAATCTCGTAAATACAGTTGTAGAGTGGCGCGCTATGTTGGTTATATTGGCTTAGTGTACTTGTATGATTATATTGTTTTTGGCTGGTTTTTTCCTAGTTTGTCTCGATATCTCATATCTTTTTTTTGTGGGGTGGTTTGCTTTTTTTTCCATTTTTTTCTCTAAAGTGGCGCTTTGTGTTACATTGTAAAGCTGGGCTGTGTGACCAATTCACGGTGCATGAGGGGGTGGGTTTAGGTGGTTCGGTTTCACGACACAGTTCGCTACGAGCGAGTTATTGGGCTGAGTATGCCCTCGACACTATAGTAAGACATAATGCATATTTCATACACATTCTCACACACACTTTACACGGCCGGAAGCAATTCAGGGTCAAGGATATTCGACATTGGCAACCAACTAACCTTCCGATTATGGGACGACCCGCTCTGTGCCTCTGCGCCACAGCCGCCCTATGGACTTACATGTAACCCATTTACTGCTCAGTTTTTCTTCTCATCCTGCATCATCAGCAGAGAGAGATCGAGAGAGAACGGAAGAGAAGACAGTAGGAAGATGGCTGTACCACCAAGACTTAAGGGAAGCTTCTTCTCAACCGGTCACCGGCCTTTAAAGACAGGCTTAGTCTTCCTTACGCATTCATTATGTAAAATAGTTATTTTGTATTTATGACTTGTTTTCAAATTTACTGTATATATTTTTTGTATATATATGTGTGTATAATATGTATATTATATATATTATATATATATATATATATATATATATATATATATAATACTATATATATATATATAAATATATATATATATATATATATATATATACTATATAATATTATATATATATTATACTATTAACATATATAATATACTATATGTATATATATATATATTATCTTCTCTGGTTTCATGAAATTCATCAGGAGTATCACCAGTAAATACTAGAACTAACAGTACTGAACCATATTGGTCGCCTGTGTGCACACACAAGTTACCATGGTTACCAGAGGACCTTGCATAGATATAAACATGCTTTATAAAGATGACTTAGAACATCACTGTCTTGACAGTTTACAGCAGATACATCAGCTGATGCAGTTGAAATAGCTTAGCTTTTCATTCATATGAAAACCATATGTACAGTGATCACACACTCCTGGTGTGCTGGTTTGCTTTCACACCACAAACAAACCGCACCAAATTCCAACTGGAGCCCACCTTGTCATTCAGACATTGGTCTTTGCTTCACACAAGTTCTCATAATCTAATCACAAAAAAAGTGTTGCTTAATACACTGAAGGAATACAAAAGGCCATATAATTGCAGAATCATTCTTTGTTTTATATAAATAATGCTTAATTAGTTTAGTTAGCTAATACTTGTTACAGCAACTCAGTGAATGGATCAAATTAATCACATTGGGGGTTAGATTAAAGATATAATAGAGTTTAAAATAAAATGTGTGTTGTATGCTGATGAACTTCACTCAGTCTCATCACAAACTGCAAAAGGAAATCTACCATTATAACCTGGGTTCTAACTTTGGCCACTGGAGTTATCATGAATGATTAGTGTATTCTCAAAAGTAATAGCTGAGATGTTGTAATGTGTTTACATACACATACACATATGTCAAAAGGGGCAAGAAACATAAGTAGTTAGTTATGGGTAACACAGGTTACCCATAATTCACAGAATTAGATGTGAAAATGTTTATACTAATTGGGTTGTCCCCCCCAATAATTTATTTCTGAATAACTTTTACAATTGAAAATATATATTTAATAGAAGTCCACTCTACTTTTGAAATAATTCACACATAAACGCAAAACATATTTTATGTCCTCCCTATGTATCCTGCTCAGTGGTCTCAACCTAGTTTTTACAGTGCTAGAGATGCTCATCTTTCTGACCATGGTGTGGAAGTAGGAACAGTTAACAAGTTAGTTACCTGTAAGTGTTTTTGTTGTTGTTGTTTTTGGTGACTCTTAAAAACATGGAGAAAAGCATGTCAGATTACAATGACCTGATTTACCTGGAGAGTTACGCACTCACACACAGGGGGCACATACTCTGCCAGGTGAGCTACCAGGAAGCCTCAGAAGAAGACTCCATCATGTAAAATAGCTTTATTTTTATTACTTATTATTTATTACCAACACAGAAACTGTGCAAAAAATGAACTCAGTCCTTTATAGTGGGCGGGCCATGTCAGAAGACCTCAGCTCAAAGGCTTGGTTCAGATTTTGCTCCCCCTGTTACGTAACAGAGGGAGTCATTTGCATAGCACCACCTCCCCTCTGACTAACCACCTCCCACGGACAAGAGCTGCCTTTGCTGCTGTCTGCCATGTTTGGCCTGCAAGCCCTGGCTGTTCCTGAAAGCCTGGAGCTAAGTGCTGCAGCTGCCCTGATGTTTGATGCACGGACCAGCACAGAAGACTGCATGTCCGCCAATCATCAGAGGAAGATACATATTTTATTTTGGATTATTTATTTATTTTTGAAATGTGACTAAAATTTTCCCACAAGGACTGCAACTACTTTCTCAAAGGAGTACCAGCTCATGGACCGATACGGACTGTCTGTCACCCAACTTTACGCTTGGAAGCTGTAAGTCCCACTTCCGCCTCAGCTTAGCCGGTGTTTTGGCAGGCAGCTCCTCACTGTTACTAAGTTTAGCTGCATTTCTACTGTGAATATTTTAAAATATTGAAATTTAAAAATGAGCAAAACTCACTCACAAAAATTTGTTTTTTGAACATTAAAACATCTAAACTTATTGTAGTAGAGCCACAAAATACAATT